TTTTCAGAATGAACGAATTCACTCGAATTATTTTGTAAAATGTTAATTACCACTATCCGTCAAATCTGAGATCTGCATGTTCTGCCGTTTTTCAAAATTCATATGAGAAAAATTTGAAAAATCTGTTTCTGACCCCCAAAATCGTCATTTTCGCTTCCCACATTTTTCAGAATGAACGAATTCACTTGAATTATTTTGTAAAATGTTAATTACTACTATCCGTCAAATCTGAGATCTGCATGTTCTGCCGTTTTTCAAAATTCATATGAGAAAAATTTGAAAAATCTGTTTCTGACCCCCAAAATCGTCATTTTCGCTTCCCACATTTTTCAGAATGAACGAATTCACTCGAATTATTTTGTAAAATGTTAATTACCACTATCCGTCAAATCTGAGATCTGCATGTTCTGCCGTTTTTCAAAATTCATATGAGAAAAATTTGAAAAATCTGTTTCTGACCCCCAAAACCGTCATTTTCGCTTCCCACATTTTTCAGAATGAACGAATTCACTTGAATTATTTTGTAAAATGTTAATTACTACTATCCGTCAAATCTGAGATCTGCATGTTCTGCCGTTTTTCAAAATTCATATGAGAAAAATTTGAAAAATCTGTTTCTGACCCCCAAAATCGTCATTTTCGCTTCCCACATTTTTCAGAATGAACGAATTCACTCGAATTATTTTGTAAAATGTTAATTACCACTATCCGTCAAATCTGAGATCTGCATGTTCTGCCGTTTTTCAAAATTCATATGAGAAAAATTTGAAAAATCTGTTTCTGACCCCCAAAATCGTCATTTTCGCTTCCCACATTTTTCAGAATGAACGAATTCACTTGAATTATTTTGTAAAATGTTAATTACTACTATCCGTCGAATCTGAGATCTGCATGTTCTGCCGTTTTTCAAAATTCATATGAGAAAAATTTGAAAAATCTGTTTCTGACCCCCAAAATCGTCATTTTCGTTTCCCACATTTTTCAGAATGAACGAATTCACTCGAATTATTTTGTAAAATGTTAATTACCACTATCCGTCAAATCTGAGATCTGCATGTTCTGCCGTTTTTCAAAATTCATATGAGAAAAATTTGAAAAATCTGTTTCTGACCCCCAAAATCGTCATTTTCGCTTCCCACATTTTTCAGAATGAACGAATTCACTCGAATTATTTTGTAAAATGTTAATTACCACTATCCGTCAAATCTGAGATC